AAAAAAAAATGTTGAGTTCATTTGTACTATTCACTGAGGAAAACTCAATGTAATTTCTTCAGTAACTTTCTAAGAAAAAACCTGCATTTTGCCTTTTCAGATAAAAGACTTTGTAAAGGATCATATCACCCATCAAATCAGGAAACCTGGAAATAATATTAATAATGATGGATATTTAAAAATATGATTTCCAAGTGTATGAATATAATATTAATATTAATGCACGACTTTTAATAATGATAATAATGACAACTGTGTCATTTGAATTTACTTTTGATGCATCTTAATTTTTATCCCTTGACTAACAACTTAATTCCTGCATGTTTTATTTAATCTAATATTTTTATATTTAATTTTTCCTATATGATCTTTTGATCAGTTTGTCCTCTGCCCATCTTTTGCTGTCATATTTTTACATTTATCTATTAAATTTGTTATTGTTTTGTAAAGCATTGAATTCATAAAAGATTTACATATACAAAAGGCAATGTGTAACCATATATATGTTACTTTTGTTTATAAATACTTCTTGCAAAATAAAATCCTTACATTTGCCTTGATAAAGTCTATCAGAGGATGACAATATATATATATATATATATATATATATATATATGTGTGTGTGTGTACAATGAGAACAAATAGAGTACACTTCCAACGTTTTAGAGTAGGTTTTATATTTGATTGGTTAATCAATATGAGACCTACTCTAAAATCAAACTGAAAAAATTTTTTATCTAGGTCATGACAGCTGATCATTGTGGCTAGACATCCAATTGCATCAAGCTGGGAACAAAACCCAACTGATTTGGCATGAGTGAAAGATTTTCCCACTAAGCCATCAGCACACGGTTGAAAAAAAAGATGAATTTTTACGTACTTATTCTGTGAATAAACACACCAATGACTGAGAGTGCTCAATTCAGGGAAGAGCTTTGTAATATTAATAGTAGTAGTCATTGCTTACAAATTTGCACTTATCTTACAAGAGTGTACAACTGAATTTAAGTTTTTTGGGTGTGTATATATTGTCATCCACAGACAGACTGCATAGCATTAAAACATGAAACAGACTGTCGCCACTCAGTGTCATGTTGACTACAGTGTCCACTTTTATATTTATACATACTCTTTCCCTGATATTGCACATTTTTTCTATAAATATAGCATACCATAAAACATATATATAATGTGTTGTTTAACTTTCCACAGAATACACACATACTGCACACTGATCTTTGTATTTACTTGCCTGTAAGTTGGAATATGACACCCCTATACATGTGCATATGGGCCAAACTTTGCTCAATCATTACAGCCACTGTGTAATGAGGGAGGTGCTACTGCAGGGTGGGTATTCAAAAGACTAGGTCTTTCTCATAGCTTTTCCATGAAATGTTCAAATATAGAAACACAGCACAGAAGTGAAGAACAGATATTATACTTTAATCTCAGCCTGAAGGTCAGTGAGTGGTCCATTCTGATCCAAGACAGAAGTGTTGATGTGTAACACTTTGGTAAAAGTGGCAAACATATATAAATAATCTTATCATTTTTTTTTTATAGGTCAGATATTTTGTTTATAAAAAAAAAAATGGGTAAATAGTTTGCTCAGTCAGCCATAGAGTAATAGTTTCGCAGCTGAGAGGCCTATGATAACATCATCTGTATAATGTGATTAAAGTTTATAACTATATATGCAAAGAATGTCAATGTTTAAAATCAAAGTCTTCTTGATTTCTAGTAAAATTCAAAAGATCAGATGAGTGAAAACTTTTCTTAAAAAGGACCTCCAACTGTGGCAAGAAATGGCTTGTAAATTTTAAAGCTGCCAAAACAAAACTGCTTTCATTTAATCACCACAGAGAACCTTTTCTGCCTGACATCAGCATGGCTGATGCTAAACTCTTGAAGAGAAACACTCTACATGTTCTTGGCCTCATGTTTTCCATTGACATCAAGGGGACCGTCTATATTTAATCAATTGTTATGTCTACTGCAAGGAAAATTGGGTTGCTGTGTTGTGTCAGAAAATTCTTTTCATCAGAATCCATCTTGCACATTTATAAATCTACCATCCATCTGTGCATTGAATACTCTTGCAATATCTGGCCTACTGTTCCTGCTGTACATCTCAAGATTCTTGACAAAATTCAAAAAATGGTTTGTAATGTAATCAATCCTGACCAGGCATCTTAACTTCCCCCTGTCTTTTCTACAAATATTTTCATGGCAACTGTTGTAATGAGCTTTTTTTCCTGATGCCTTGACTACATAAATTTAAGCATCCTACCAGATTCGCAACTAAGTCTCATCATTTTACTATTGAACTACCAAGATGCAACCACTACTTCTACTCTAACAGTTTCTTTTCTCACACTTCTCACCTGTGGAACTCTCTTCCAATTACTTGCTTCCCTGATAACTAAAAATCTTCAAAAATTTAAATGCAATGTCAGTTGCCATCTTCTGTTTTCTTGAACCCTGTTCCTTTTTTGGCCTTTCCTCAGTCAACCCCACTAAAGTCTTCTTTGTGTGTGTGTCTGTGCGTGCTTAGTAAATATCTGAAGAATCATTTGACTTCAAATTCTGATAAATTTGGTAAAAATGTTCACATTTTTTAAGGTTGAAATCTTACCTTTGGGGAATTCAGTATCTGTCTATGTTCATATCTTCATTTTTCATATCTCTGTCTGTTCAGATCTATCTGTCTCAGAGTCTATTCATTATCTATTTGAATCTGTCTATCTCAGTCTGTTCATTATTTATCTCAATCTGTTCATTATCTATCTATCTATCTATCTGACTGACTGCAATCAAGACCACAGAGCCCTTGATCCTTTCACTGACTTCCTAGTTTGTGCTATGTCACATCTACACACATCTGTAAATGGAGAATTGTCCTTTTCCAAGACTGGTTGCCAACCATAGCTAGGGAACTTAGTCTACTCTGCTATTTAACCCAAATTTGGAAAGAGAAGAGAGAGATTCATTCCTTTCCCAAAAGGTATTTGTATAAAAGTGACTATAATGAGCTTGATTGGAATTTGAACTCAGCTTGTTGATTTCTCATTCTGAGCCTCTAACACAACCAGCACATCCTCTTTGTCAATAGCAACATGATAATCAATGAAAAAAGAACTTTTTGCTTTTTCTTTTCAGTAAAAGGTTATTTTTTTATATTTAAAAATGTTTTTAATGTAAATTCATTCATGTCTCCTATAAGTCAGCAAAATGTCATAAAAATCAATTTTCTTTGTGTGTGCTTTTTTATATATATATATATATATATATATATATATATATATATATATATATATAAATTAATTCAAGTAAAAAAGTTTGTCCTTAGCTGATTGATATTACCTTCAGCATTCCGACTCAAGAGTTTCATAGACAAACCCGTCCATACACTCGTCAGAGTGTATCAGCAACATGACTGCTTATACTTCTTAATTTTTCTTTTTTATATGAACTTATCATTAACGCAATTTTTTTCCTTTTTTTCATTATGCATGTGTGCATTCACACAGATGTTCATACATGTAGAATATTGTGATTATTTGTCATTTTCATTGTTTTTTTTTTTCCCTTTACACTTGCGTGTTAACCTTTTTTCTCTTTTTCTTTCTTTATCCTCTTTTTTCAATTGTTGCTATTTGATTTCTGGTTTTTATAGACAGGCTGTAATTTTTAAATTTTTGAATGTTCTTATAGATTTCCACTTTATGGCAGAAGAAAGCCATTTCTTCCTTTTCAGATTGACTAACAGTGAGCATGGAAGTGACTCAAAAGACTCACTCCACATTTGCACACCGGTCAAATCCACTCTCTTGAGCAACAAAAGAAATAATCAAAAAAAAAAAAAAAGTGCAAGTCTACAGCATCGGTTGCTTGCTAGTGAACTGCAAGTGTTATAGCAAATCATTCCTTCTCCAAGCTGAATACCGTAACGAAAGTTAAGGGGTCCTCCAACACTGCAAGTAGGCTGTGTACTAATAAACCCCACAAGAAGATTAATCCACACTTTAAAAGGTTTTGTTTTTAATCATACTGGATATCTAGCCACCCTCCTCACCAGAAAAGCTTGGTTGGGTAACTGGTTTATTTGACAGTGACATAACGATATTTTATTCTTTTTTTTTTTTTTTTTTTTTTTTATACAAATATATTGCTTTTAATGAAAATGTGTGGATGGTATCTTTTCTATAAAAATGTATTGTTATAATTGCATAGTGTTTTGACACCAGTTTGTGGGGTTAACTATTTCTCCATAGCTGGTAACCTAACAGGTGCTACCATCCCGGGCCAGGGAGACCTGGGAACAATAGCAATTAAGAGGAGGTCCCATGCTCCTCAAAACCTCCCATGCTGCTTGATGTAGCCTATCGTCATACTCAGGATGTATCTCAGAAAATAAACAGATGTCTACTACTAATATATATATATATATATATATATATATATATATATATATATATATATATATATATATATAAGTGGATCATATGTCTTGAGGTGAAATGGTAAATTTAGATTTGACATATTCGTGGTTATTATTGTACCTATATTTTACTTGTATAGAATAATAAAGTTACCCTCCACCCCACATAATCAGTTAAATGGGAAAATAAAATCGTGGATTATAATAGATTACCTTTGTTATATATATATATAATAAACTTTTCGAAAGAGCAATCTGAAAACATTTAAAATGAAAAGAAAAAATTGTGGAGGAAAAGAGAAAATCTATAGTAAATCAAAGGGAGACAACTGCTTCGTTTTTCAGCGCTTTCTCCCATATTTACTGTTTGAGAATGGATATTTTTTTTCTTTTTATCTTAAGTATGAATAAATTCCTGATCTAATGCGAAGTTATTCACCAACTTGACAAAAAACTTGGCCGGAAAGCAAGAGCTCCTTTTTTTTATGTGTTTCTTTTATCACAGTATTTCGTGCTAGAGACCTTAATTAATGGATTCTTTTCTTTCTTTTTATAGGAATTAGCAAATCGTTACATGACAGACGAAGAGAGTTACCTGCAGTCGGATGCAGAATCTTACATTCGAACAGACGATGAAGAAGGAGGAAATACAGAGTGGGAGGAGACGATGAGACGGTGGGTGAACAGATGATGGGTACCCTTGCTTGACCCTACATCTAGTAGATTAGTGTGAGGGTATAAGGAACTGACAAGAACTAGGGGCAACTACTCCAATTATTACTATTCTTGATACTAAGACTACCATTACTCCTAAGTCCTAATGTTATGTTTTAGTTCCCCTACACCCACGTTTCTCTCTTCATCCGTCATCGTTGTGAGTCTTTTAACCCCTCTCCCATCAACACCCACTTACCTTTTTTTTTTTCTGTTTCCCAACCATGGGAGACATTATAGCACCCACAATCACTACACTCACAATATTACATTTAATACGCAAGAGACTTGCATACATTTATGTGTGTATTATAGAAAATGGTCCAGCAAATAGCCAGCAAAAAATTAAAAAAAAATAAAAGGAATATGTACGGAAATTGAAACTGAAGAACACCCCCTCCAAAACCAAAATAAATAAATTAAAAAAAATAAAAATAAAAAAAAAATAAAAATGGAATAAATTGTAATGGTATTTTAAAGTGAAAAATAAAGAAGGGACAGTTTCCACAGCGGGAGCTCATTTTTTTTTTTTTTCTCTTTTCCCCCTGCAATGAAATTTGAAAACGCCAACACCACAGGACGAAACAATCGCAGCTAAACGAACAACCGTCTGAGACTTTATTTAAAAATAAAAAAAAATGAAACAACCAAAAACAAGAAAAAATGATCAATGAGAAAAGAACAAAGAAAAAGGATACTGAATAAAAACTTTAAAAAAAAAAAATCTTGCACTGCAACAAAATCCATTCACCCTTTCTCCCTGCTGCTCCCACCTTATTACAGGTGACGGCATTGGAAGAGCAGTTTGGTGTTCTTCTCTTTCTCTCTTGTTTTTCCTCTCGTTTATTCCTTCTCTTTTTCTTGAGTCTGCAAAGTACACTGAAGACAGACTTAAAAAAAGTGAAGGATAAAGTAGAGAAGATGGAGAAGAAAGTGTAAAACAGGATGCAAAAAGTAAATATGAATAAAATTAAATAGAAACTGCTGTGTTCTTTGTTGTTGTTATTTTTCTTTTTTAATTATGGTCAGTATTGTCTTCGTATAATATGGATGATGCATCTTACTTAAAATGTTTAGCAGTATTATTGCAAGGTCGTGTTGACTTAATCTCTCATATTTACCACTGTAGTTTATTCAACTCCTAGCTTCATCACATTCTGTCAGCTAGTGTGTATGTGCATGTGTGTGAGTACTCCTCATCTGAAACATGGACCTTACATTCTCATCTGTAATATTTGAGAGACTGCTCTACTCTCCTACTCTTTATAAATCTACTGTAATAATATCCTTCAGCATACACTATAGTTTAAAAGTTTGGCGCTAACCCCAGAATTAACATGGGATGAACATGAGAGAAGAGTGTGGAAAAAAAAAATGAAAAAAGAGCTCTTAGAGTCATTGAAAAAGAATGGAATTAGTTATCAAACTTATACTTAGAGAAACTTTTGCAATGAATAACAAATATTTGCGCTACAGTAATCAAGGCTAAAAGAGGATATTTTGACAAGCAAAATTTAATCATAAAATGCTTTTTTTCTTTTTGTCATAATAAAATTTTTAATATTACTTTGAATATATGCTCTTTAGTGCTGGGGGTGTCGTCAGTGATGTTCTGAATTGGGTCATTGAGCAGTTTCGGGTCTTTCAAACATCATGCTCCCCCTCACCAAGTCGACCCCATCAGAGCTGATCTGTCTCTGATGCCCCCCCCCTCTAAATTAACAGCCTGCAGACACTGGCTTATATTAGGCAAACCCTATCCCTCTGTCACGCATTTGATTGGAAGTTGACCAACAGCCAATCGCAATGGTGTTGTTTACGGGGGATTTTTTATATTTTATTTTTTTTATGTGGATACTCGGCGGATATTCGGAAGGTAATTATGTGTTTTCCGTTTTTTTTCTTTTTTACTTTTTTTATGTTTCATCTCCCCAGCTGATAGTTACTGTTAGTAAAGAAAAAAAAAAGATAAATAAAATAATTAAATAAGAAATAAAAAAAAAATGCAACCTTAAAATAATTAGAAATTTACATTGTTTTTACGATTAAAATAATAAATTACGACTTAATCAGCGTGTTAAAATTAAAATAAATATAAAAATAAATGTTTAAAACAAGTTGAACGAGTAAAATTAGAAAATTTGATTAAATTTGTCAATTAACATGGTAAAATTAACGTGTGGGATTAACAAATAAATTTAAAATTTACGATTTTGATCGTTATGTGAAAAAAAAAGAAAAAGAAGGCGGAAAGAAGGGTGAACAATTTTGCTAATTAAATTGTTTAACAAGAATTAGTTACAAATAATTATTAATTGACATATAGTCCCATAGTTGGTGACAGAAAAGGAAAAAGAGATAAAAATGGAAGTCAAAAGACTTCTATTAAGCAATAAAGAACAAAAATGGAGGGAAAAACTATTGAAAAAAAAATTTGACCCTTTTTGAACTTTACGATGTGCCTTTATTCTAGATGCTAAAATATCGAAATCACAGTTAATATGCAATATACCCCTACCAACATTTAAGCATCAAGTAAGAAAAAAAAAAAAAAAAAAAATAAATAGATTAGTTCGATAAATAAGTTAAAATTGGGAGATGTAAAAAAAAAAACAACAAAAAAATAAGACTACAACTAATTTTCTAACTATACATATTTACAAACCAAATACAGCATTTATAATTAGTTATAATCTGTGACATATCTTTATACTATTTACATTAAAATAATATACAATTAAAGATTTATAAAACTACACTGCATAAAATAATTTACAAAAAGAAACACGTTGTTTCCATCTATCTCGAACTTGGACTTTTTTTCCCTGATTGCTTGTCCATGCACTGCTTCGTTTTAGCCATAACCATTTAGCTGTTTTTTTCTGTTGTCTCAGTAATAGTTTGGATAGCCTTTCGTCTTTTTTTTCCTACTATCCCAATATTTGTTAGGGCACTGAATAGTGATTTTGCTACAAAACCCCTTATGCCTACTTCAATTGGCTTGCAGCTTCCCTTCCATCCATTGCTCCTACAATTTTTCAGTCGTATCTTAGTTTTTTCCGTTCATTTGCTTCTACATTGTCCTCATAACAGACTGTTAATTCCCACATAATGATTTTTTTAAACTTATTTAAAAAGAGGACTAAGTCTGGATGCAACAGGGTCTTGAAGATGTGATCTGGGAAGTTTAATCTTTTGCTTATATCCACTCTAAGTTCCCAGTCTGTTGCATACGATAGACAATTGGGTGCAATCATTTTCATGTCTCACTTTTTTTAAACTATGTATAATAATTTTCTCTTATTTAAAGTACAAAACAACTAATTTTTGAGCCAATTTAAAAAATTACCAGAGGTGGCTTCAAACTTCTGAACTAATGTACTTTTGGGACTTGATGGCTGGGGAGGCTATTTCAGATTATCCCTTCATTCTACTGCCCTGACATTACAATGAATGCAAAGTGTAATGCTAAATGATCTAAGGTGAGACGCATCTTCTGAAAACTATTTGGTTGATTATAGTTGATGCTGTTTACCATGGTTGTTTGGTGGTGGTGGGGGTTGTACAATAGAAATGACCAGAAATAATCATTTATTTCAATGTTTTCATATAGATTAAGCATGAATATCAAAAAAGAAAACAAATTAATTAAAATATATAAAAGGGAACCTAGTCTGCTATGTAAATTCATTGTAAATTGACCCCCGCTACGAAAGCTGAAACAAAATGTGCTGATACCACAGCTTCTTCCCCAGAACTGCTGCTTCATCGAACACTCTTGAGTGGATGTGTCTCCAGTCGCTCCAATCTTAACCTCTCTCTCTCTCTCTCTAGACTACATATCATCTTAAACTGCACTCTTCTTACTTTCTTCTCTTTCTATATGCATCAATCTCAATCAGTAACTATCTTGAGTGGCTCATAGGTCTTATGTAAGTAAAAACAAAAATCATGATTTCTTAAAAATTAAAAAAAATAAAAAGAATTTGAAGTTTGTAATCTTATGTTCATTTTTTATATTTTAATATTGATTAAACATTCCAGATGATGAAAAAATTTATATTTTAAGAAATCACGTTGTATTAGAATAATTGTTTTGGTTACTGTAAGGGGTTGCCAGAAGGGCCTGGCTTGCTATGTAAATTGAACCAATTTACACAGCAAACTTGTCCCCTCTGGTAACTTCCGTAAAATTTAATTAAATTTTTTTTATTATTCATAATCTTCAGTGCTTAATCTATGATATAAAAAACAATTTTTCAAAATTGATTATTTCTGGTTTCAGTGCCTATTAGGGCCAGTTGATTTTCAAGACATGGTGTTTCACTCACTTTGAAAGTTCAGGTTTAACGTTTTTTCCCAAATTGTTACTGTTTTTTGAGATGTGTTTAAAGAAATGTTTAGGTTCAAAATTGTAAACTTGGAATTTCATTCTAGTGATCAGTGAAAGCCTTATAGCACAGCCTTTTAAAATTTATAATTTACTGAATTTTACAAATTGTATATGGACAAGCACATTATTACTAAATCATTGGTGCCATCAGATAAGACCTTCATTTACTTTGATGGGATATTATACTGAACAATTTAGCTATATTCTTATGTAATATGCTATACAGTGCAGTAGTTTTAGTGTAATTTTCAATATGCAATGCATATTTAAAACATTTTGTCTTATAATTTATGCCCAGCAGTATAATGGTGTTATATAAACTATATCTATTGTTTGTTTTTATTAATTATGATCTAATGAATGATCTAACAAATCTTATTCATTGAGTAGTGTTTTTTGTAATCTTTTACATTTTTTACTTATCAAATAGAGTAAAAAAAAATTCATATTTTGCTTGATTCATAATTAGAATTTTGGTTTGAATATATTTTCCATGCAATGTATATAAACAAAATATATCAACTTTATTTGGATTTATTCTTGAAATAGTAAAATTTTGAAGTCAGTTAACAAAAATCTGCAGAAATTAGGTATGTCTGTACATTTTTTCAGATGATCTTTAAAACTAAATGCTAAAAAATTTCAACTGGCTAGCTGTTCAAACTATGAATTCCTAAAGTTTCTTGTATAGAAACAGCTAATCTCACCATTACCATTAATATAAGATGTATACAGTGTAACATTAGTTATTAATATAAGGTGGGCAGGTAGTAATTTATCCAGATTCTTGATTGTTCTGATATTTGATGAATATAATTAAGTTGTATATTGAACACATAATAAGTAGATTTAAAGGGTCTCCTTTAATTTAATTGATAAAATAAATAAAAATAAAGGACATTATTTAAAAATTCATATTTTATTTAACAAATGGATTACAGATTCTTGATAAAATTAGAATCTGCAGTGTTATCAGTCCTGACCTGGCATCTTGGCTTCAGTTACTTTCCCATCACTATAATGATGTTTCCCTGTGTCTTTTCTATAAATACTTTCATAGTAATTGTTCTGATGATTTTCTCTTTGATGCCTTGATTTTACAAATTTAAGTGCCATACTTTGATAGGTGGCAAGGTTTTTTCCATTTTACAGTTGAATTGGCTTGATACAACCGTAAGTTCTATGCTAACAGTTTCTTCTTTTGCACCTCTTGCTTGTGCAACTCTGCAGCCAACTTTGCTCTTTGAAAATTTAAATGGAATGTCAATTGTTATCTACTGTCTTCTTGATTATTCTCCTATTGTTCTTGCTTGTTAATAATGTTTCTCTTTTTTCTTATTCTTTCACACTCAGTAATGCTTTGTGGCTTTATTGTCTTGCTTGTGGGTGAAATGATTAAAATGAAACAGAATTTGTACATGAGTGGAATTGGTTGGTTTTATGAAATATCAACTCTTTGTAAAATAAAACAATCTAAATCCAAATGCAGCACCTATACACCCCTGTTGGAGAAACTGCTCTCTGATTGGTAATGTCTTCAAAAGTG